AAAACCCCCCAAAAGAAACAAAAATTCACAAATCATTAACTTGCTGGTTAGCCCCCCCCAAAAAAAAAAAAAAAAAAAAAAAGCTGAACTAGGAGAAAGTCATTTTTTCGTTTCTATCTCGCACAGAGTGCTGAGCAGCATCGGGCTGTAATTTGCAGAAGGAAAGTTTGCCTTATCAGGAACTAATTGCTTCTGGTCAGAAACAGATAACAATCAGCCTCCCCCGGTGTGCTTCCTGGCAATGTGTTTGACAGTGACAGGCATCAGCGGAGTTAGAGTTCAATGGTCAGCACAAAGCAGGCTTACTGCCTCTAAATTGGGCCCCCTTACACGCCTATGTCCCATTTGGTCAAGTGCATGAAATTGACAAGTGCAAAGCCTTATTTTTAAGGACTATTTAATTTCATTTAATTCAGAAAAAGCTGTATTCTAATATTAATACTCAAACTGAAAATAACCCAATACCGCAAACCTTATCATCACCAAAACTTACCCGACTATTAATTATGTATTAGTAAGCTAATTTTGTTATGGCTTTGATAAAGTTCACTTATTAATTAAGGGTTACCATTACACCATTTCAAAAAATCTGAAAGAGGACAAAACTTTACTTCAGTGTGATTCAGAGATGTTGAAGATTCACCGGTATATCTCAAGGCTGTTTTCATTTTATGGCCCTCTACAAACTGCTTTTGGCTAACTGAACATACTATGACATTTAGGTCCCAACTATTTGAACAAGAGATGGGGTAGTATCCGTATAAACAACATCTCCATTGGGAGTGGAAGCGTGTTTTACCGCACTTGAGACCTAACCTCCAAGGAAACATCCCCAGGTGTTGTTTTCTGAATGCAAACGCGTCGTTTAAACTGCGAAGTCTCGACAAACACACTAGCCTATACTAATTTTGGCGTAAAACAAGTTACCACCTTATATTACGCTAATTAAATAATCAGATGACTGTCACTAGTTTACCTTTATCGTCTCATCTATATGCAGACATTACTAGAGCGGCTTTCCTCCACCATGTCTACCATTTATTCGCGGGTTAAATTCACCTCAACTTACTTTAAGAAGAAACATTTATCAGATTCCTTCTGTATTAAACGACAGAAAAAGAGGATAACTTACCACAAACGTATGGGTTTGGATCGGTGACAAACCTAGGGAGGCATTGGATTCGGATGTAGCATTTCCACTGGCATTTCTCGGTTGCTTCATTTGAAAACAAATGGACGAATTAAAAGTGTCCCCTCGTCCTCCGCGACAATATAAAGGAGGACTTCAGGGCGAGCAAGAGCTGCTTCACCCCGTTTTCGATAAGTCCCCCGTCATTTATCAACTTTTTGTACGAGGCTTTCGGTCAAAAAAGGGGGCCGACCGTTAGAGACTTTACTACGGCTGTAGAATTGCTGCTGCTGAGTCCTATAGTGTATACACACACACACAGACCCCTCCCCCAACTGTCTGCTCCCATCGCTCTCTGCCGCCGCTGCTCAGCGGCTGTTCTCTACTCTGATTGGACAGAGCGCACAGGGGGCGGGGTTTGAGTGAACACACGAGTGCACATACAAATTTGAAACATCTTTAAGAATGGACACGACACAATAAACAAAGAAGTACAGTGTTTCATAAACAATTAGCACAGCAGTTGGTAAGTTATACCCCCACTTTGGCTCGTAGATTATAGGCCATATTTTATGTTACGCATTTAAAGAGAAAATGACTTGTCAAGCACATCAGTTGTCAGAGATGTGTAGGCCTTTCATTGCAAAAGTATGGCAGTGAATCCATGCATCTTGGTTTGTGCACATAGAAAACTAGTGGTGTACTGCAATTTTGTTGATGTCTGCCTGAGGGGTAGTTCATAATTTTTAAAGTGGGATTCTCTAGAAAGGCTCTTAGAAGTTATTTACTTCTTGGTTCTCCTGTAACAAACCTAAAAAGATTGTCAAAATTTGCAAAAATGTTTGATCTCATTTCTTACGCATACATGCTTTGTTGACTTGGAATACCAATTTTACTCGGAATTAATATTTCCTCAAGGTTTGTGCAAATGCTAATTTATGAACCTTTATAAACTTATGTTCAAGGCAGTTGCACACCTTCTCATTAGCCAGATGTTTTAAACAAAAACAAAATGTAAAAAGCTAAAAATAATAAAGCAATTTAAATGTTATTTTGTTGATATTTACCCCCACGTCCTTTTCTGTTACGGAGTTACTCTAACAGAAATGTTTTACCTATTACCTTAGCAACAGAACATGTAAATAATGATGGGTTTCTGGTTTAAGGGTTGATTAAAAAAGGGTTTGCAAGATGTTTTTGTCTTGGCCCCTTTTTATAACCTTTGATTCTGATTTTACTTTGGATGTCCAATTCAAGACTGTGGTTTGTTCCTGTTTTTATCGTCTGACAAATATTGGTAAAACTCAGCACCACTGTCTCACGTCCTGAACTGAAAATAATTATTCATGCTTTGGTTTAATCACATTTGAATTATTACGATGCACTGCACACATGTTTTAGCAAAACCTCCCTCAAGTGGTTGCAAATTGTTCAAAACACTACTACCAGGCCTCAGACAAAAATCTCACCACTTCAATCATAATGTAACTACACTGGCTTCTGGTTTATTTTAGAGTGCAGATTGGAGCAGTATTTTTATAGCATAAACTTATAAGATTGTTACTCAAAGTTGATTTTAATTAGGCCTTTCCTTCTTGTTTCAATGAACAGAAGCTTGCCACCCGCATGTATTAGTTAAAGTACACAAGTATTACTTTGAATTTATTGTATTGTGCTAGAAGGAGAGAAAGTGTTGTGTTCTTTATCCCAACACTGATACAAAGATATATAATTATTTGCTAAAAAAGTAAACTGGCTGGAGACAAACATGTGATTTGTTTAACAAATGAGTTTATAAGAGCACTGGTGTATAAATGACGTCTTTGAAAGAATGAAAATTGATTCTTAGGGGAAATATAATTTTTGCATTATTAATTTAAAACCAAAGGTCAAGCTTCTGGAGAAAGAAATATCTATCTCACACCTGGAATGATTCCAAAACAAAGTGTTGTTTTGTTTAACCCAAGCAAACCAAATCTTCACTTTCTCAAAGCTCTGAAAAAATATTGTGTTGTGTTTAATTACTCATAAGCGGAGTAAGGTTTTCTGCCCCTCTATTTAGCTAACGGTTTAATGAAAATAACTCAAATTTCATAAGGAGTCTATTAAAATGATGAAACACGTATAGGTGCTGCTTTGTTAAATGAATCCGTCAACACCGGGGAAGTAAGAAGCTTAAGGATTATGATGTAAATTCTTTGCTGCAGCAGTGCCTCAAACAAACCTGACATGGAAAACCATGTTGCACGGCAAGTTGGTTTTCGTCATGCCTTTCTCCTCCTAACAGAAGTTAATTACACCATAGACTACCCTGATGAAAGATGACATACCCAGCTGAAAATCCCCTTGTTTGTGTTGCTATAGATACCAAAAGTTTACGATCGACAATGGAAAACATAAAAATGTATCATAGTTACATAGCTCAGAGCTATAAAAAAAGGTGGAGAAACACCTCATCTTTTTTATTGCTCCTAATGAGTTATATGTAATAAGTACATTCTCTGTTCCAATTTATCGCAGGTGCAACTAAAAGCCCTAAAATAATTTGAACTCTGGGCGTCACCTGGTGGCCTGCTAAAAGTGATATGAACTGTTTTTGACACTTAATTATTACCTCGCCGTGTAAAGAGGTGTAGCTTTCTGCTCTTTACATTAATCGTAGTCGAAATACAACAAAACTCTGAAGTGAATGGCTGAATCAGTCACTAATTAAACCCCATAAATAAAAAGGAAAGAAAGTAAATGTTTTAATGAATTCTGAGAAAATATTTCCCTCTTTTAGCCTCTACACACACAATGGGACAGTATATAGTGTGTAAATGATAAAATGAATTCAAACTACAAAAACAAAAACGCATTGTCTAGTTTATTCTGAAATTCAATTAGTAAGAACTAATTGAATTTTAGAGCTACATAATATGATTATGTATAAGAATAGGGACTTCACTGTTTTAATTTGTCCTGCCCTGACTAAAACTTACCATGTTAAATGCTGCTGTGGTTGTATTTTCCTGGTATGAAGTACCAGAAAATTACTGTCAAAAAAATCCTAATTAAAAAAGGAAAAAAATCTCAAATATTTTGTATTTTTTAGCACAGTCATTTGGAAGATATATCAAATCTATTGGATTGAAATCCAGGTTATACATGTTTGTCCTGCAAGTGTACCTGAGAGTGCATCTGAGAAAATAATGTATAATAAGGCACAACTAAAGTATGTACTTTTATGGTCATAGTACATATGAAAACACAAGGATTTTTCAGTTTTCCAAAGCAGGACGAAGTGATGCACTGTGAATAATAACAGTGTAATCTTTCATTGCCATGTGACAAATTCTGAATGCCTTTTCTGATAATAAGACACAATCGCATAAAAAGATCTCTCTGTCCGAGGATCTCACGCCGCAAATACAATAGAACATCCTGTTGTACTGCTGCACATCAGTTAACTGAACGGAAAAGACGGGAGTGAAAGTTTACAAAGCATGAATACAACTAATTAAAACACAGATCTGTCTTCCAAATGAGTGAAAAAATCTATACTTTGTTTAAGCAGCCTGTTTTAACTTGTTGTAAATCTACATTGCTTGAACTTTAAACTAACAGAAACTAAAATAACAGACTTAGACATCCCTTATTAGTCCATCCATCCACATCATGCTGCACCATTTTCTGACCTGGCCATTGTGATGAAGAGTTGTCTACTCAAAAAAAAAAAAAGAAGTTTGTATGCAGGAGATTTTTGACTTAGGAAGTTAGATCCAACTCGCGGCCCTTTATTGCTTTGTAAAGATAGAACTTAAAGCATGAACTCAGATCCGGAGCACAGCTTTTGTTTCATAGTGTGAAACTAATACATAGCAAACAACTCAGATTAATGAGACAAGCTCTCGTACCATTGATTATGTTAGCTTCTGATGATTCTTCAGTTTATTTTATTATCTGGTTATTATGAATACAGTCTCTGGCATTGTTAGATTTTTAGATGGATTCTTGTCTTCCTGTTAGATCAAGTTTGCTTTAATTTCTGATTAGAGGTTAAAGCACACACATCCTGATTAATGCGTCTGTGCATGTAGACTTTTACTCCTACGTTGGACGGAAGGGCGTACGCTGGGGACAGCCAGGAATTGAGTGGGTGTTGATAATGAAATCAGAGTTTATCCCCAATCAAGCTCAGGAATCAGGCCCTGTTCCTGGAAGCTGCATTTCCAATATAAAAGGCTCTGTTCTGCATTTATTTTTGCCTGAGAGTTTTTGACTGCATAGCAATATGTGGTTTTGGTTACAAAAGGTAGTTCTCAGATTTAAACGCGTCCCATCTGTTTGCGCACTTAAGTTGGCACCATTGGTAACCAATGCCGGTCTCTTTAACTCCTAAATACGTCATCATATAACAAACAACTGCCGCCTCAGTGGGGTGCTTCTGGAATGGCCTATGATAATCATGGTCGGGCACAGCAGCAGCTACGTCTCAGCGATAATTTGTTTATCTAGTTGGGTATTTGCATGCTCACAAACAGAGGCAAACTGTACAGCAGTACATCACAGTGCACAATGTGCTCATGCCTCTAAGCTCAGTGGCCTGGGAGTGCACATTAAGCTCATTAAGTCTGTGGTGGAGATTATGGTGTTTCAGACCAGGCACCAGCATCCAGTGGCTTGGGCGTCTCATCATTTTCACAGGAAAGGGAGGAAGTGGATGGATTATTGCAGAAGAGCTCCTCTGACTCACCACCCAGTCGACATTGTCTAATCAGAAATATTGCTGACTGAAACCTTGTAGAAATGGACTAAAAATCAGACAGCGTGAATTTAAATTAAATCACTAATCCATTGGAAAGGATGTTTGATTTATTGATGGAAAGGCAGCTAAAAGTATTCGCGATAGCATGACGTTGCACACTTCGAGGGCAGAAATAGAATGTTTTGACGAATGTTGAAATATATAAATCAAAGAAGTCGGCGCTTTGATACATCAAGCGTTATGTTAGTCAAAAAACTTGATCGTATTATAGAAATCAGTAGAGACTCTGCAGCCTGTCTTTGTTTTACCGTTGCAACTGATTCTGCTGCCTGCTGAGGTCTGTCATCCTGTCAGGCAGCTTCCTGGAAAACAAGGGCTTCCCATGTGACAGGATGTGTTTCTGTCAGCAGGATTGTTGTGTACATGTGTATATTGGTGCTTTGTGACACGTGACTTTGAATACAATAATAAAATGTTTGAACAGTGGATCTCCTAGATGACTACATATGACACTGCAGCCGAAAATAAAATTTAGGATTAATGAAATGAGCCGGCACATTTGACTGGTGTCTTTCTGTGTGTTTTCCTGCTGAGATAAGTTATGAGGTGAACATTTGTCTT